TGATAAAGGCGGTGAATACCATTTTCCAGAATATTCTGAAAATGTTGGTATTATTCATGAGAAGTCTGAACCATACACACCACAACAAAATAGAGTAGCTAAAAGAAAGAATAGAACATTAATAGAAATGATTAATGCTATGCTTTCTTATTCCAATTTAACTTCTAGTTTTTGGGGTGAAGCCTTGCTCACTGCCTGTCGCATACTCAATAGAATTCCTCTCACGGGAAGAAATGTTACTCCTTATGAACTTTGGAAAAATAAGAAACCTAATCTTGGTTACTTGAAAACATGGGGTTGTACAGCAATAGCCAGATTGCCTGAACCTAAAAGGAAGAAATTAGGTGAAAAGGGAATTGAATGCATATTCCTTGGCTATGCTATACATAGCAAAGCATATAGGTTTCTGGTAGTAGAGCCCAATGGTTCAGTGGAAACAAATACCATCATTGAATCACGTGATGCGGTATTTTATGAGAATCGTTTCACAACCATTCCAAGGTTGGATTCTAATCAAGGAAATGAATCAACTCCTTTGATGTCTACAGAGGAAAGTGAACGATATGGACCCATTGAGCCTAATGAACCTAATGAGCCTATTGAGTTAAGGAGGAGTAAGAGGGCTAGGACTGAGAAGTCATTTGGCCCTGATTTCATTGTTTACCTTGTAGAAGGAACTAGAAAAGCTTATGGTAAGCAAACAATGATTTCTTTGAATATGGATTCAGATCCATTAACCTTTGAGGAAGCTATGAAGTCTGAAGATGTTGCTTTCTGGAAAAAAGCAATAAACGATGAGATGGATTCTATCATGGGTAACAATACCTGGATACTTGCTGATTTGCCACCTGGATCCAAACCCATTGGTTGTAAATGGATTTTCAAAAGGAAAATGAAAGTTGTTGGCACAATTGACAAGTTCAAAGCAAGACTAGTTGCTAAGGGTTTTACTCAAAAGGAAGGTATTGATTATTTTGATACATATGCTCCGGTGGCTAGAATCGCCACCATTCGAGTGTTGATTGCCTTAGCCTAAATCTGTAAGCTTGAAATCCATCAAATGGAAGTTAAGACCGCTTTCCTAAATGGATTTTCAAAAGGAAAATGAAAGTTGATGGCACAATTGACAAGATCAAACCAAGACTAGTTGCTAAGGGTTTTACTCAAAAGGAATGTATTGATTATTTTGATAAATATGCTCCGGTGGCTAGAATTGCCACCATTCGAGTGTTGATTTCCTTAGCCTCAATCTATAAGCTTGAAATCCATCAAATGGATGTTAATACCGCTTTCCTAAATGGAAAGTTAGATGAGGAAATCTACATGCAACAACCGAAAGGATTTGTTGTACAAGGTGAAGAGCACAAAGGGCATGTTTGATTGGGTGGATTAGAGCATGGGATTAGGATTATTAATCTGTGGGCCCAATTATCCTATGTTTGTTTTAAGATTTTGGTTTAGGATTATTAATCCAATGGATAATTAATCCAACAAATTTGTAGGATTATTAGTAATGGGGTAGGGGTGGGATTATTAATCCAATGGATATTAATCCAATTGGATAGTGAATACCACACTAATTTAATAGTATTATTAATACTTCACTATTAATCTTGTGAATCAAACATGACCAAAGTGTGTAAACTAGTGAAGTCACTATATGGACTGAAATAAGCTCCAAAACAGTGGCATGAGAAATTTGACAAAGTAATAGTGTCAAATGGTTTTAGGATACATGAATTTGATAAGTGTGTGTACATTAAGTTTACTGGAAATAGAGGTGTAATCATATGCCTATATGTAGATGACATGCATATTTTTTGTACTGACAATGATGCCATTGAAAGTACTAAAAGTTTCTTGTCATCTAGCTTTAGTATGAAAGACATGGGCTTGGCTGATGTAATTCTGGGTATTAAGATCAAACGAGAGGCCAATAATTTGATTCTAACCCAGTCGCACTATATTGAGAAAATTCTTATGAAATTTAATCGATATAATTGTACACCCATGTCTACATCTTTTGATTCAAATTTGAAATTGTATCCTATTACTGAAAGAGCTGTTAATCAACTAGAATACGCAAGAGCAATAGGTAGCCTGATGTATGCCATGACTTGCACTAGACCTAATATTGCTTTTGCAGTGGGAAGACTTAGTAGATACACTAGTAATCCCAGTAGTGTGCATTCGCATGCTGTTAACCGAGTACTTAGATACTTGAGGAAAATAATGGACTATGGAATAGTCTATAATGGCTATCTAGCAGTGCTGGAAGGATTCACGGATGCTAGTTGGATAACTGACCGTGAAGATCACTCGTCCACGAGTGGTTGGATTTTTACTCTTGGAGGAGGAGCTATCTCCTGGGGATCTAAGAAGCAAACATGCATAACAGATTCAACCATGGCATCAGAGTTTGCAGCATTGGCTTCTTGTAGCAAAGAGGCAAAGTGGCTAAGGAATCTCTTGTTGGGGATTAAGATATGGCCAAAACCTATGCCACCAATATCTTTGCATTGTGATAGTGAAGCAACTTTATCACGGGCTTATAACCATATCTATAATGGAAAGTCCAGGCATATAGGACTAAGACATAGTTGTGTTAGGCAGTTAATCACAGAAGGTGTGATTACCATTAGTTATGTAAAGTCAAGTGAAAAGTTGGCTGACCCCTTAACAAAGGGACTTGCAAGGGATTTGGTGTAGAAAACATCAAAGGGGATAGGTCTTAAGCCCACTTAACATAATCACTCTTAGTGGAAACCCGACTCAACGCTTGAAGAAACATCAAGTCTTGAGTTCAACAAGCCCAAGTACACCATATGTCGTGATTGCAAGCACTTAGTTTTATTTCATTTTCATCCCAAGGTTGAAGTGCTTGGTACCTGTAATATGAAAAGAAGAGGATGAGTTAGAAAACTCTTAATAAGCTTACAACTGGGTTGTTAGGATACTATAAATTACAAGGGTACTCGTAGTAAGCTTAGCTATGTGAGTGTAGGAGGTGGTGCCGTTTCCTATGAGTCCAAGGGCTTGACTCTAGAGTGCTCATGAAACAAGATATAGACACAAGGTCAATCCACGTGTCGGTTTGTTTGAATACTTGAGGTAACTTGTACTGTGCGTGAGATATGTCCGATTAGTCATATAAGATTGCTACTTCAAAGACAAGTCTAATATGTCATCTTGTCGAACTTTGAGATGTCTTCACTAAGTGAATGATTCAAATCATAAGATATCTTCACCTATGCATAAGGCTGCCAAGAGTCATCATCTGGTATTTTGAAAATGGTGGGGGAATGTTAGGGAATTTTCAAAATGGTTTTTAAAATTTATAGTTTAGTTTTTTGGGTGTTTTCAAAACCTTCCTTGTTTTTCTTTGGAAAACATTAACTAAGCTTGGGGACTTTATCCCACATCAAAAAAAGAGGAAAACATGGAGCACTTAATAAAGTGCTATATGGAATATTCCTTTGAATATGGAATTGTGGGATGAAAGCTAGTGTGCATGCACCTACACCGCAAGGATGGTGCTTCGCACCATTCGCACACGCGCACGCGCGTGGTGTGGGCAGTGGGCTGTGTGGCGTTTGATGGCACACTTTGCACTTAGCACGGACGCATCAGCGCCATAAGGGCGCTTTTCTATTTGCATCGGACAGGTTGGAACGATGATGCGGATTCGACGTGGCATGGGTGACATGGAATACAGTCAGCTCTACGTGGTAGTGACATGTCGGCCGTTGGCGATAAGTCAACCAACCGATCAAACGGTTGTGTGACCAATCTGGAGTGGGTTGATCATAGGGGTTGATTGGAGATGCGCGCGATCGTACGGATGAGATGGCACTTGATTGAGATCAGGTGTGATTAGTCAAGGCATCTATTTGGTGTCAGAATGATCTGCGCTATAGATCATCAATCCAACGATCAGATCTAATCGAATGCGATCAAGGGACATGACCGTTCGATCAGATCCATCAAGGCCTATAAATAGGCTACGAAATCAGCCATTTCATTCCATCCAAAATCCTGAAAAGCATTCCTACAATTCTCTCTCTCTCTCCCTCTTGATTTTGAATTTTTCAATCAAGAGTTTCTTAAGCAAATTTCTATTTTTTTTATTGATAATCAAGTTCTGCAGATTTGATTATCAGTGTCTTGGTTTCTTGATTATATCAAGAGTGTTCTGATCTATCGTCGTCAGTGCAGACGCCGATAGACTAAATCTTTAGATCAGGCTTCATTGTATCCTGGAGACAAATTTGTTGTAACCCCCTGCACACCTTTTGGTGGGTACAAATATTGTCTTTAGGAAAGCGACTGAGTAACGCGACTTGAAGCACCAATTTTCTGTTCTATACAGACAAGATCATTGCCAAAATTTGAAGACCCAAAGACCACCAATTGAAGAATTCTAGACGAATTGTTCCAACAATCTCTACCGATCCCATGATTTACTTCATATTTTGTATAACCAATCCACTAGTATGATGGTGTACTCTTGTCTATCACATACATGTAAATTCTTTTACAAAATACCACCTTCTCATGATGCTGCTTCGAGACTACCAAATAATTAGTCACATTTAGAGAGAGTCAAGGATCCTTTATCCCAAATTTCTTTATTTTGTTGTTCCAATGCCCTCAGAACCATCGAATCATGCGAGAAAAGTAAATCTAGAAATATGATCGAATAGTTAGATGTGGATTGGGACATAGAGATAGAAAAATTGAGAAACAAAGAACAAAGGATCTGTGCCTTTAGAGAGAGCTTTCTAGTCTGGCTCATATGGTCAACAACATATACAGCCTCAACTATTGGTGTCAGGTACATAGCCTTAACTATAGAGGCATGGGAGCTTTCTAGTCTGGCTCATATGGTCAACAACATATACAGCCACTTGCAGAAGCAATTGGCTCTTTGTTATCAACACATTGGTTAGTCCAATCCAACCCAACTCAACCCATTTCATTTTATAGTATTACATGATAGTATGTATGGTAAATGGAATGGAATTGACATACAGACTAAATTTTGGTTTGTTGCAGCTGAAAAAAAGTATATTGAAGCATTTCAATTGCTTGTTTGCCCCTTTGAGATGGCACACATCGATAACATGAAGATCCTCAAAGCTCTGATTTATGCTGAGGATGATCAACTGCCACTTGTTGATGGTTCTAATAAGAAACGGGTTTGTTTATATTCATTTAATCCATTTATGTCATTTTCCATATATAAGCTCAATAACTTGAAAGACAATGAGAATGGGATTCAAGGTTTTCATTATGAAATATTTTAAGAGCACAGAAATCGATAACAAATTCGAGCACAATCCTCTCACATAATCGTCGATTTTACTTTTTTGTGAGTCTCATACCTATGTGATAGAGTTGTGTCTAGTTTTGTATTCATTTATGTATCCATAAAAGAATTGTTTCACTATTCAATCATTTTGTATTCATTTGGTTTAATCTATGACTTCCCTAAAAGTTCTCACATTGGTTTGATCTTTGTATGACAAACACAGGTTAGCATTGATGTGCTAAGGAGAAAGAATGTGTTGTTACTCATTTCAGACTTAGACCTCTCCCATGAAGAGCATTTCATACTCGATCAAATGTACACTGAGTCTCGACAAAACCCGACAAGGTCGGAGAGTCAGTATGAGGTTGTATGGCTCCCAGTCCTCGACAGAACAATCCCATGGAATGATGCGAAGCAACAGAAATTTGAGGCCATTCAAGCTTCGATGCCCTGGTTCTTGCTGCAGCACCCTTCACTGCTTGATCCAGCAGTCATCAAGTACATTAAAGAGGTCTGGCACTTCAACAAGAAGCCTCTGCTTGTGGTGTTAGACCAACAAGGCAAAGTTGTGAATCCTAATGCAATCCATATGATGTGGATTTTGGGAAGTATGGCTTTTCCATTTACTAGCTTGAAGGAGGAAGCACTTTGGAAAGAGACAACTTGGTCAATTGAGTTATTGGCAGATTCCATCGATCAATCCATTGTTAATTGGGTAATGACTATTCTTCTAATTGACTCTTGTGTTTGTCATTTCTCATTATCAAGTTTTGACCTACCAACATTGGGAATTTGGAAAGATTGGCACTATCTAATTATTAAAATAGTAGTGACACACAACTGAAGTACATAAAATGATGCAAATGTAATGAAATTTCTGTGACTTGAGTTTATTTTGTTGGTTAATTCAGATTGTAGATAGAAAGTACATTTGCTTGTATGGAGGAGAGGACCTAGAGTGGATCCGAAAATTTACGTACATAGCAAAAGCTGTTGCAAAAGCAGCAGACATCACATTGGAGATGTTGTATGTAGGAAAAAGCAACCCAAGGGAAAAAGTTCGGAAGATCAGCAACACTATCTTGAGTGAGAATCTCGGCCACATATTGTCAGACCCAACTCTCATGTGGTTCTTTTGGGTGAGGTTAGAAAGCATGCGGCACTCCAAGATGCAACACGGTAAGTCTGTAGAGAATGATCTCATAATGCAAGAGATCATGACAATTCTGGGCTTTGATAGAAGTGAGCAGGGATGGGCTGTGATTAGTCATGGCACGGCTGAGATGGCTAAAGCCAAAGGTGACACCATGTTGACTAGCTTGACCAAACATGAAGATTAGAAGGATCAAGCTAATAAGGTTGGTTTTGTGAATGCACTCATTGATAACCTTGGAGAGCTTCACACCCCACCTCACTGCTACCGTCTGATCTTTCCTGCCACCACCGGAAGCATCCCTGAGCTAAGAAGCACGGGTGCGGGTACGAGTATGGTACGGGTACAAGTACGGATACATCGATACGGCAAAATCCCAAAAAAGTAAGGTACGGGTACGGCTGCGGTACGCCGATATTTTTTTATTTTTTATAATTATGGTTAAAAGATCCAACCTACAAATTGAAGTTAAATATCAAAATTAAAAGGAAAACTATAAAACTAAAAGACAAAAATATTAATATATTTGAATTCAACATAACCAACACCAATGCAGTCCATAATCCAAGCAAAGGAATAACTTGGTTCTAATTTATTAATTTATTAATTTTTTATTAATATATTTGTGTTCTAATTTATTAACTTGGTTCTAATTTTTTATTAATATATTTGTGTTCTAATTTATTAATTTTTTTGATCTAATTTTTTTTTTTTTGTTCTAAATGTGATTGAATAACTTGTTTCTATACCTCTCTATTTTTTTTTTGTTCTACATCAATATCAGATTATACCTCTCTGAAGAAGAAAGAAGAAACAAGAACAAAAACAAAAAAAATAAAGATGAAGAAATTCTGACCACTTGGTTACAGGGGACGAAAATAGATGATAGATGTTTGCTGATCTCTGCCAAAAAAAAAAAAATGAGATGAAGAAGAAGAAACGAAGAAGATGAGAGAAGAGGAGGGTGATGAAACAGCGAAGAAGAAGTCGTACCCGATGCCGTGGATCGAAGTCGAAGACGAGGGTGATCTCTGGGTCGAAGTCGAAGTCGAAGTCGAAGACGAGGGTGGTCGAAGTCGCCTCTTGGTGCTCAATTGATGAGATTAGGGCAAAAGGGATGAGATTAGGACAAAACAACTACATTCGTATATTCATTTTTTTTTTTAATTTTTTTAAAAATTTTCTTAATATTGCTCCAGTACCCCTCAATTTTTCAAAAAATTTGATTTCTGCCCCCGACGTACCGAAAATGCATCTAAGGCGTACCCATGCTGTATCCGACTGAGGCAGACGTACCCGACCACTTTTTGCCGTACTGGTACGCGTACCCACACCCGGTAAGTACCCGGTGCGTGTACGGCACTATTTTTGGAGTACCCGTGCTTCATAGTCCTTGAGCCGGTTGTTTGTGGTGAATGTGGCCGTCCTATGGATAAGTTCATAATGTATCGTTGCTGTCCTGACTAAACTATTAAATAGGTCTACACACCCAGAAATAAACTAGAAAAATCCATTTTAAGAAGAGTGATTACTACTAGGACTACTATATTGCTACCATTTTCTACAATGTATTTTCTCTGCATGGGGTTCCCTTTCTTGCCTTTATATAAAGTGTGTTGTAATGATGTACTAATAGTTTTGATAAATAAATGATGTGTAATATTTTGTGTTTCATTTGCTCTTGATCTATATTTGGTGACAGTTGCTATGAAAACATGATGTTCAAGTTAGCCTGTGGAAGAAAGAGAACGAAGAATCCAAACATTGGCTAATTGAATTCCACATATAAGGGAAGGGAGAGCATGGATGTGCATTATTTCGATCTTCTATAGAACTAAATAACTCTGTTTTATTTGAAACTAAAAAAATATTTTTTAATTTTTTGTATTTCGCATTTTTTTAATAATTAATTATTTTTATTTTTAAATCCACTTAATCTAAATGCACTTAAAAAAAAAATATTTATACGGAAAACATACAGAAAAAAAAAGAGAGCACATATATATATATATATAGTATTTTTTTTTTTTAAGATTTTTCTTCACAAATATTTTACTTTTTAAGTGGATTTAAATTATAAAAATAAAATATGAAAAAATTTACTAAATACCAAAAAAAAGATGAAAAACACAAAAAACTAAAACTAAAAAATATTTATAAAAAACAAAGTCAAACAGAATGTTAGAAAATAAGCTATGTCAATCACATTCATCCTATGCAGATGCAGTTCAATCACATCAAATTTAAATCTAAACTATAGGGAATTAAGCAATTATTTTTAAATGCCAATTTTATGTATACTGCCCAATTGAGCTAACTCTTTATGAAATATTATGGGTTTAATTTTGAAATGGTAAACCAATTATTAAAAAATAATTTCCTACTGCAACTTGAGTTCACCCAGATTTATTCCCAGTAATTTTTCTTCTGGGATGGGATGGTATAGTATAGCTAGAGGTGTATATATGGGCCTAATGGCCTGTCCAATGGTTTATTGGGTTTGGGACTATGGTTTAGGTTCATAAGGGCTGCGTTGGGACGGGCATGGAAAGTGTGCTTCAAATTCACCCGCCCCGTTTGGTTCACAACTTATAACATTATCCAATCAACATATATTTTTTTATGTGACACATTTTGAAGACTTGTTTTTTTTAAAAAGTCACATAAGTATACTTTTTCATTTATATATAAAGTTCTACCAAAATTCAATTTTAATTATAATAACTAATTTTTTATGAATTCTATTTGAAAAATATTTATTTTATATATATCTAATTATAATTTAATTATTATAATATTAGAAAAAAATTATCTTAATATATAAATAAATAAATAAATAAGACAGAATGTGTTTAATTATATGTATCGCACTGATCAAATTAATTTTCTTTTATATTTTTATTTTTTGTCTCTCTTATTAATGTCTTAATATTAATTTATATTTAATTTTTTATTTAATATGAAATGAAATTATTTGATACAAAATATTTATATTTAATTTAAATTTTATATACCTATATACAATATGTATGAATAATTCAAAAAGAATATTAAATAAAAAATCAATACTCTACATAATTAGTTTATATATTTTCTTCTTAATCCAATCACATTTATTTAATTTTTTAAATAAAATTTGTGTAGTTCTATTTCTACACATTTTTATTTTCCAAATAAATATAAAATTAAAATTAAATAATTATAATTACTTTTAGTTTTATATTACTAATTCTCTTTTTAATTTAACTATCATTTTCAATATCAAAATTAGTGTTTATTTTACTATCTTACAATTTAATATATATCATATAAAATCATTATATGATAATTACACTTTTATAACACAATATAACTAAAATTATCCAAATAAATAAACAATTTAACTAAATTTATGATATATAAGTATTCAAATAACACTTTTATAGAACGATAAGGTTAAGATTATTAAAATAAATAATTAAAATTAAAATTAATATTATTCTTTTATAACATATATCATAATATAAAATATCATTATATTAATTAAAGTTAATTCCATTGTGATTTTATGTCAGACCTCATATTTCTAGAAGTGATTTACATACACATGTAGCATCCAATTTGATATTGATTGATTAACATAATAGAATTCAATACTTTTTTTGTTAAGTTTTTAGAAGATAAATTGACAAAAGTCAAATAATAAAAAGAATGGTGTATTATTTTAAAGAATAATGATTTATCAAAAAGGATTGTATATAATTAAGGTACCTATTGATGTTTCTAGAATAATTTTTAAATAAAAATTTTAAATTTATAGTATTACTGTTAATCACCTTCATGAGTTCTGCCAAAAAAGAAATGCAAAAATAATTTGCTTGGAATAAAAAATTTGCAGTTATTATTATGATATGTCTCATAATTAATTAAAACTCCTTTGAAAACTGAAATTATTAAGGTCATAGAGATTTTGTGCCTAATTACTTTTGAGGATATTGTTTATGATTTGAATTTATAATTTTTTATGCATCAATGTGAATAATTTTTACGATTTTACAAATATAAGCATAAATCATATTTTTGAGTCAACCCACCTTAAGTACTTTTTCCATATAAAAATATTATAATAGATCATAATTAAACACCGCTTGAAACATAATTAAAGACCCGATGCACTACTTTAGGCACAATAAAAAACAAAAGAAATTAGCAAAAATATTTTCAATTAATAACCAAAATAATACACCATAAGTTATAAACAAGCCATAATTATATATTATAAATTTTTTCATTTTTTTTATTGTTATTTTTTTAGAAAAAATATTTTGATACAAGTGGAATCAATAATTTTTGGTAAATTTGATTAACACAAATGGGGATCTGATTTCAGGTTGAGAAATTATTTTTATGAGCTTTTCACATAGGATCACACACATAGTGTTAAAAATTTTCATCAGCCATTAGCAAATCTGTTTGTATTTGATTTTTAATTGTTAAAATTTTCTACACATAAAATATTAAGACTCAAAATTAATTTTTTATTTTAAAAATACTAGTTCTATATTAAATTTTGTATATTCTACACTACAAGAATTCACACTTTTGTCGACTAAAAATTTGGTCGACAAAAGTCCATTTTTAGTCGGCAAAAGTTATCCGCGATTAAATTTTTTAGTCGCCACTTTGGTTGCCAATTGAGGGTCGCGGAAAGTAATTAGCGACTAAAAAATTTTAGTTGTCGCAAAAAAGTTATATTTGCCGACTAAATTTTTGGTTGCTAAATACATAATTACTGCGACTAATCTATTAGTAGTTAAAACACTTTAGTCGCGAAAAAGTTCTATTTGCTGACTAAATTTTTGGTCACTAAATATATAATTACTGCGACTAATCCATTTAGTAGTTAAAACACTTTAGTCGTGAAAAATTATATTTTCCAAACCAAACATGTTAGTCGCCAATTCGCACATTCAACAACCAAAAAGTTTGGTCGGCAATTGTAATTCATTTTCCATGACCAAAAACTTTGGTCGGCAATTGTGGCCCATTTTGGCGACCAACAAATGTGGTCGCCAATTGTCATATTCCACAACCAAAAAGTTTGGCCGGGCAATACATTCTGCGACCAACAAATTTGGTCGACAAATGACACATTCCATGACCAAAAAGTTTGGTTGGCAATTGTGGCCTGTTTTGGCGACCAAAAATTTTGGTTGCCAATTG